CTGCCTTGGGCAAAAAGACAGGGTTTTTATATCTTTTAGAACTCTATGTAAGAACGAATAATATTTTGTGCCAACAGATCTGTATCTGTGTCAACGGGTCTGTGTCAACGGGTCTGTACCAATGGGTTTGTACCAACGGGTCTGTGTCAACGGGTCTGTGTCAACGGGTCTGTACCAACGGGTCCATATCACAGGGGTGACAGATTATTATTTGTCACTTTCTATAGTTATATATCTTTAAACCTTAATAACTCGTTAACTATTAACCCGAATGACAAATAGTAAAGACTACACTAAGGAAATCAATATCAAGGATTTCATTGGTGGAATCAGATTTGTACTACAATTAGAAGTTATACAGAGTTACTTAATAAAAATTTAAAAATACTAATATACCACTAATATAACAATATAAACAATATATTGTTTACATAGAGATTTTATATAGTTATTAATGCGTTTTTTAAAGATATTCTAGTATCTACTAGGCCGATTTAGATTATTTAACCACTATTAAAACTGTAAGGATGAGCTCTACAACTTTTAATTAATTTACAAAATTGATTAACTTAGTACAAAAAAAGTTTTCTTTGGATGAACAGTAGAAATATTTTAGATTCACACTATATTAGATTTATATAGTGATTTGTATTATGTTATACTATGTTTATTCTTTTGTTAATTAGCAAATTATTAATTAAGTAGTTTGCCCTAAGGTTCTACACTAGCCACTATATCTATAGCCTAACTAGAAAGCTATCTATTTAAACTTTTTGGCTTCAACTTCTATACTATGTTTTTTCTAATATATTCTTTCAGAATAATTTGCTGTAAAAGACTCTAAGACTTTAGCCACCAGTTAATCTAGTTTCTCAGAGAGGCATTTATTCTTGTAGTAAACCTAACAAAGTGGTCTATATCCTATATATATATTTACCTACATGTTTAGTAACTTTTTTTAATTAATATTTATTGTGCTGCTGCTATCGAGTTTATATCTTAAGCTATCTTTTTAGATACTATTATAACCCAATTTATATTTCAAGCTATAACCTTCCTAATTAGTTTTTATTATATACTCTTTGCTCTTGCAAAATTCACAACAACCCTGATATCTACATTTCAACTTCTTTTTTTCCTGAATTTCTTATTAGTTTCTTTCTTACTTCTAGCTAGCAACTTAGAAAGGTCAGTCTGCCTAGGCTTTAAGTGCCTCACAGTCTACCTTCTCTTGGTATATACTTCTAAAACACAAGTTCTTTTTCTCTGGTAGCAAGCTAGCAGTTTGGCTAGTATGTTCCTTCACTTAAAAACCTGGTCACTCAGTTCTCTAATTTTAGTCTCTAGTTCCTAGTTTAGTCTTTCTGTAATACTATCAAAGATCTCTGCTATCTTCCAACTTGAGACTTTCCAAATAGAGTTTAATCATTGCAGTTTCTTGGTTTTTTATATACTGAAGCTCCTATGTAAATATAGTGTTACCAAGATTACAGATTCTAAAATCCAACTAATTAACAGATAATTGTTACTATAGTATAGGCTATTTTTTAAAAATATTATCTATAAAATTCAAACTCTAGACCTACTATCTGGGGGTGTAACAACTCTACTACTTCAATAAGTCAACACACCTATTTGTATTAAGTTTTATTAAAAACTAAAATTTTATATTTATAATAATAATATCAAATAAATTCTAGATAAGCTATACTATTAGTAAAGTACTGTTCAACTAGTTAATAAAAATCATAAAATAATAAAAACATGTATAGTATGTTGAGTAATAATAATTTTAATTTTAAATTCTAAAGTTAATTTTTATTTATTTGTTATTTACATGATTATATAATATATGATCTGCAAATCCACATACACTAGAAGGCTAAGCAGAATTTTGTTTGTCTGTTTACTCATCTATGTGATTAATTACATAAATGATAATTTGTTTTTAATTTACTTTGGATTTACAACAGCACTCTGTTTTTCTAGTTTATAGTATTTATATATTGGCTAAGAGCTATAGCAAAACTTTGAAATAAAAAAACAAAATTAAATAATATTTTGTATTTGTACAATTGATAACTTATAGCATATATTAATATTTTTCTGAAACCAAAATTGCATTTTTAAAAATAGCATATCATGCCAGAACTCTCTTTATTTCATAAAAAATTGTTGTTTTAGCAAACAATATATAAATAAAAAATTATATTTATTTTTTATTTAGTATTTTTTGGAGTTTATATAGTTTAATAATAAACCATCATTAGATTTTAATTTCAAAATTTTAATTTTAGTTATCTTTGTTCTATCTTGTTCTACTTTGCGTTTATATATTTTTAAAAAAATAAAAAAGACTTAATCATAACAATATTGCTTTCTAAATATAATTATATAGTAAAAAGTTTTTTTACAAGTTTTAGTAATTTTTACAAATTTTGGTTTAGATAGTATTAGGTTATTAGAATAGTTAATATTGAGAGTAGTAGTATTATTCGGTTCAGCTTACTTTACCGATGCTCATTTCGTAGAAATAATATATGGTCCTAATTATTGAACTACAAAATAAACGAAGGTCAAATATTATGATTCACGTGTTCAATTTTTCTTTTAATTTTACTATGTATTTTCCTCTTTTGGACAATTTCTGTGGGGAGGAATAGCGCCATAATACCTCTAACCTGAAAAAACAGCGATTTTTTTTTTAAGATTTTAAAAATTTAAATTTCGAAGTTTTTTTTTTAATTCGATTTTTTTTTTATCATTCGATAGTAAATCGAATGTTTTTTATTTCGCTAAGTTTTGTAAATAAATACGCTTTTTCTGAAAATTTTTATATGTGCAACTCTTAAGTGTGCCATAATACCCGACTCTCTCTTATAGCAAATTTAAGAAATATGAGAAAATTTGGGAGGTCTAAGATTTTTATTAGAAATATTACTATTAAACAAAATTTCTTTATTTAATGGACATTTCTCATCTATATAAAATAAAATTGTTTATACATTAATTCATTTTGAGAGCATTTATTTCTTAGTTATTTAGCTAACTAATCATATGACTTATTTCAGCATCCACTAGTGCCGAAATACACACGTGAACACGATATCGATCGATAGTAATTTAATCAATATGCAGTATCATCGTTGCCAAGTATTAAATTTATTTTACAACTAACAGTACTTTTTTCTGTACCCAAGTGTGATGCATTAGTGAAATATTTTTGCCAGAGTGCTTTTAAAATGTTACGTGAATGCATAATTGGTCCATCCACAAAGGGTTGAACGCTGCGCCTTGAGATTGTTCTAAAAGTGATGTTAGGAAACTAAAAGTTGTAGAAAAGTTGTGATCTATTTTTTAACTTGCACAGTGCAAACATATAATAAATAGTATTAGACAAATATTCAAAAAACCACTTTCATATCATATATAAAAACAAAAATATATTCAATTACTATTTACACTTGTTCACGTCCTTTTTATCATTCCAATATTTTAAAAGTTTTCTCTCACTCTAATACACGAATAACAAAATTTATCATCTTTAAATTTTTTTTTTCACAAAAGCACAGATTAAATTCACTTTTACAATTCAATTTACTTTTTCTGTACAAATAAGATGACCTTCCCTCCCATCTTCTATCAGGTAATTCAATTAAAAAATAATCAAAAATTTCTAAAATCTTTTTATTATATCGTTCCGGATATTTTCTACTAGTATAATATGAATATATATAACAGAAAATATAAGGTTCGTAATCAACATTGATTTCATAATCACTTTCATCTACATAATTTTCGTACTCTAACGAAATAAATAATTCATAATAAAATTAATTCAACTGTATATATTACTCACATACTATACTGCATATTATTAAAATTCATCAAGCTATAAAAGATACGTTTCTGGATATTTCTTTATATAATCTTTATGAATATAAAATTTTGAACCTTTAACATTAATGGTTATAAAATAAGGCTGCATTTTTAATTTTTATATAAACATGGATTCACTTTTTTGAATTGTAAATATTATGTGAATGCGAAAATATGGCTTTATA